TAGTAGTCCCCTCCCCCAGAAACTTAGTGTTATGCACAAAAGTTGAATGCCACTAACATCGTGATATATTGCTAAGTAAGATGAAAACAATGGGAATACGAGGGGTTACAGTAAGGTGGTTCCAAACGTACTTAGAAAACAGAGAACAAGAGGTAGAAATTACATACAGATGCAAAAACACTAATCGAAACATTAATTACCTATCCCGAAAGAGATCCATCAGCTATGGCGTCCCACAAGGTTCCGTTCTGGGACCACTGTTGTTTCTGTTATACATAAATGACCTGGAGGCCAGCACAGGTCCATATTAGGTCCTCTCGGCACAGACGTGCCGAGGGGACCTAATATCGATTCCACCTCACACTATATGAAATCTTAACTATTGTAATCTACTGTAATCTATTGTAAACAATTATAAGTATTGTAACTTTATTCTCTTATTGTAATCAGCCAATGTACAGTAACTGACTTGTCCTATATCATGTAACAATCATCTACTGAGACAAAATAAATAAATAATATGAAATGCAAAATTATTTGCATTTGAAATTTTCACAACTGACCATCACACACTGTGTAACACATGACTTTCAGATATAAAAACTTAATTAAACTTTACATCTAATTTTATACATGGGTGCTTTTTTACTACTTAGTACTGACTGGTTCCTTCACATACCAGAATACGTTCAATGAACTGTCCAGTTTATGGGATGGTCAGTTGATGCTTGTGTATGGTTAGGGTTTTGTGAAATTCCTCACTTTCGCCTCACAATTTGAAATTTTCCCCCTGAGACACGCAGCAAGTGGCTTGGGTCAAGCTTGAAGCCAGCTGCCCATCCGTAAATCAGTCAATTTAACGCGTAAAACAAGGCTGAGTCCTTTAGAAATTCTAAACTTGACAGGGGAAGTCATAAATTTAGCAGCGTCGTTTCCTGCTACCCCAAAATCTCAGTTTGACAGCCACGCAGCAGGTGGCAAAGTTCACCCCTAAACTGTACACTAGTGGATATTCGCTTTTCTAATTGAAGGAGAATGATAAGCAACCTCCCAGTCTGCCCGGTCCAGCCAATCATCGTCTGAAGTGGGAGGTCCTTTGCCCGAATTTTGGTTAACCAGGGCAGATATTTACCATTCAGAGGGTGCTTGGCAAGGAGGACTCTGAAATTTACCTTCACCGGGGGTACACGTGCTTTGATCCCTGTAAACACGTCCTCTGGTGACTATTAAGTGTGCGTCTCAGAAACAGTAAGGAAGCCTACATCCACAACTCTGTGAAGTGTGTCGCCCGGTGCTGTTTCCATTTAAATAGTGCAGGTTGAATAAAGACTTCAACAGTTAATTGGTGTTGAGGTGACTTCCCTACACCTAAAACCCCACTAATCACCCAAGTCGTGGCCAGTCAACACGCCCTGATAGGAGTCGAATTGCTCTACCGGAGCTAGCAGAACCGAAGGACGGTTACAACAATTGCACAACCTTTACCTCAGATGTAATGGAGACATAATATGCTACCAGTATATCACGCTTTGTTTCCTTTGAAAGTACAGCGCACTGCACCTCACAGGATACTCGTGCTATATAAACTAGACTGAACAGGCTCAGGACTAACTGAATAGCTATGGCAGTCTACGGAAACACAAGGAGAGTGATATATACTGCCCAAGTTGGATAATCTCATTGGCCAAATACTTTGTTTTTCTATTAAAAACAAAAAATAAGTATTATTATTATTTAATCTCATGTAAGTTCACAAGAGATTTATTTAAATGTAATGATATTGTAAATAAATTGTACTTACATGTTTAACAAATTTCCTCCATTCTTTACATTTTCACTTTCACCATCATGTGGAATAATGAAGTCAAGAGCATTTTCCTTCTCATTTGAATTCTGGTTCATTTTTCAAAACACAACTGACCTGAATGTTCTTATGCTAGAAGATGAAAACAACAGCTTTCGTAAGTCTGAAAACACTACAAAATAAACTTTTTAAATTTGTGTAGCGATCTTATTTTAATCATTCTCTCAGTTTCTCTGCATGTCTTTGATGCCCCAAGAACGCTGATTCATAAGCATGTACTATAAATCTGACAAAGTTTTGTTATCTACTACAATATATTCAGATAAATACATTTATGATTCTGATGAATTACACAAAGATTCACTGACATCTATAAAAGCGGAAGAACTACCTCATATCTAGATGAAAATGGAACAAAGGTGAAAGAACAACTGTGAATCAGAATCCACATATTTCAAATGCATCTTTGCAATCTTATATTTATTGTTGTTATTAAAGTTCATTTATTGCATATACAAATCTATCACAGTACAGTTTATAAACAGCAGAGATGTAAACCTGTACTTGGGTATATTATATTTCTTGTGTCACATTAAATACATTAGATATTGGCACGTGTATAAATGACTATAGACGGAGTTTGGGCTGGTAACTGGATGTATTGGACTCTTTTTAACACAATTCATGACTACACTTTAAAAATCACTATCACACACAGACTAGAGTTCTCAGTCAGTCTTCTACCGGCAGACGTTCCCCTTCCTCTGGGTTCCCGAGCTGTATCCGGCCTCAGTTGACAGCTTCAGCAACTGCCAACTGACTGACTAACTCTATTCACTAACTTGTCCTGCTTAAAATATCTCGGCACGGACCGCGTAGAAAACACTGCTAATGCTGCCGTGAAATTGTTGTGTCCGTGTCGGAGCAGCCGCTACTTAGAAACGGCTGTCTCTGCCGGCATTACAGTTTTTGCCTTGAGCAAATATGCCACATTACTCCCTCCTTAAGGGTTACGCCATTTCTTATTTTCCGCTTGGTGCGGGCAAAACTTCCGAGACTAGTAGGTGCTCCTGCATTTCTGGCACTCCAGCTTTGAGTAGTCTCTTCTTTCGCTTTGGCGATGGCCAAGGACTATGGGCTATGGATTATTAAAACATTCTGAAATACAATTATTTCTTCGCGATTTTGAACGGAAAATTGCACGAATTCGTCCATTAACTTCCTTATATTCGTCCTTCCCTTCGTACTCATGCAACAGTTCGACAATTACTTAATGAATTTTCACCAAATTTGGCGTTGGAAAATGTCACTGAAATTCGATTAATTTCACGTTTCTAATATTATACTTAAGCATCCTGTTACACTCACACAATATATATGAGACAAACTCCGTCTTAAGTGCAACAATTTAATTGTAGTTCTTTCTTCTTCTCTTCCTCCACACTACATATTTCGGCCGTATAAAATATAAGCGGCGACACACACAGAGACAGCCTACACAGAACAATACCTGAACAGCGATAAAACAAGAAGTGGCCGCTGCAGCACTATAGATATAGGGCGTGTACCCCGAGAAAATTTTAATTTTTAAAAATTTGGAAAAAGAAAAAGAACAGTAAATTTATAGACATTTTAATTTGAATAGAAGTTTTAAAAAAGTGCCAATTTNCGTAAGTCTAATTGGGTTCGAGGTATGTCAACAGAAGACAACGGACGCACCAGAATTATTACACTGCATACATTTCCAAAATAATTGTATCTTCGTATAATTTTAATACCAAATATTATACTGTCACGATGTTGCTCCTATCCTTGACTCCGAATCCAACCTCAGTTCTGATAAGTGACGACACGTGGATCTTAAAACACAGACGAAGGAACACGAACATTACTTATCAGTCCATTGTATAACCTGGCAAAACGTTGAACTGACCTTGAACGATAGAGGTAGTATTAGATATTTCGATGAGTGCAAGGAAGAAAACAGGGAGTCTGTATCTTATGACAGTAGTGCTTTGCTTACGGAACTGGGTGCTGTGCTTCAAATTTAAAATTATTTATCCTCCATTTCACGAAAGTTAATAACATTTTAGAGTTGGCGCACAAAACCTTCATCGCTTCCTTACTACGTTAATGAATACGGGGATAAAAGTGCTCTACTCATGCGCAGATCGTTCTCTTTCTTTCGGTCTCGTCTTTCGGCAACGGCTTCACCAGCTCAGATTTTGTGCACCTAATTTACATTGCGTTCGGGACTAGAAAACTGAAAATTAACGGCCGTGGGGATTCGTCGTGCTGACTTCGCGACACCCTCTATCCACTAAGGTTGGGACTAACTTCGCTGACAAGCTGCGGTCGCTAGATCGGTATATTTCGTTTGCGGACTAAAGCTACGGATTCTATAGGGTTCTGACGATGGTGGATGACACATAGAATTACTGGGGTTTGGACTTTTTCCATCGTCTGGAATTCTAGGTAACAGAGGACAAGACGTTTCGGAAACTTGATCTGTTTCCGAAACATCGTGTCCTCTATTACCTACAATTCAGGATGGAAAAATTCCAAACTCCCAGTACAGTAATTCTGTAAAGCCACGGAGTTTTTACTCTACACTGCGCATCTGTCTTGGCCCACAATACTCCAAGGCGTCATGTTTCGCCAATGAAAAGCCATGTACTGGTCGCTGGAATGAGTATACATGAGAAGTAAACATTACTTTATGCTTGATAGCTCTATAAATTTCACCGTGAGTGTACTACGCTTTACCTTAGTCACAGAATAAGAATAAGAATGGAAACATCCATATCCTGGAACAGGACTCAAACCCGCGATCACGGTGTATTAGCAGCATAAAATTAAGCGGCCACCGAGGCAGAATTCAAATAAATGAGCTGATTAAAAAGACTTGCAGGTATGAGAGCTCGTTAATTCCTTTCTCCTTAATTAAAAACACCAATTAAGCCGTCAAAAATGTAATTAGCAATGAAACTTCAAGCCTGCGTTAGGATAATGGGTGTGGTTTCCCTTTACAATACTGAATACGTCTCGAACGGGGTGAATGCAGGTTGTGTTAAATTCTCTTGGGCGAGGTCTCACGTTGTTTCAACTTGGGGTCATGTCAGCACAACCACAGTGACCTAGGCACCAGTCTCGTTGTACAGGTATTCGCTAGGTAGAATGATCAATATTTAAACACAGTCCTGATGGTCCTGAATTCTAGAAATGTGCCACATTTTTAACATTTCTGAGCCTGGCAGACCATAAGCTCATCTCCTACGTATTAACCTGGATTTCCCTGCAGGAAACATGCGAAATAAACTTTCACGTGCCTTTTATTATGGCGTATGAAGTGTTGTTATCTTCTGGGATGTAACGCCATGTAATCTGGTAGAAGTCCGCCGATGTTACGGACAAACTCTATCATCGGGGTCGATGTGAAATCCACATAAGCAACCAGCAAGACTGAGGCGGCAAACAGAGTTTATGAAGGGAATTAATTATCTTCTAGTATGTAACGCCGTGATGTCTGGCAGATGTCCACTGACGATTATGAGGAATGTACTGCCCCCCATTTTCGGGGTCGAATGGTAGGTAAGCCGAGAAAGAAACCAGCAAGAGGCAGGAGACAAACGGAGCCTATGATGAATACTGTTTTCTCGTATGTAACACCGTATAATCTTGTAGAAGTGTCAACTGACGTTATGAATACACTGCCTACTTCACGGTCGAAGGGCAAGCAAAGAAACACACCACCAAGAAATAGGCAGAACGCAGAGCCTATGAGGCATCTTCTGGGATGTAACACTGTATAGTCTGGTAAAAGTTCTCTCACGTTTTGAAGTAACGCACTGTCTCCGTCTTCAAGGTCGAAGGGTAAACCAAACAAGAAACGGACAGCAAGCAGAGTCCTATGGCATTCCTTTCTGTTATGTCTCACTGTCCCGAAACACTCCCCCCCCCCAGATCATTTGGCAATAAACGTAACCTGCCCATACATCGTACAGGGCACCTACATATGTCCCTTCACCTTTCCGGTCAATTATTTTTTTTGAGCTGCGTATGTTACTGTCACATTTGCGGGCACACGTGTCCTTCCCTTCCCTATGGAGACGCCCATATCACGTGTAGCCAGACGTTACCTACTTTACAGTGTTATTTTCAAACACATGTGTCCCTTTGATATGCACTATTTTAAATTTACTCCGTCACCATGAAAATGCTCTAATTTTTCAATATTCGTCGTTCTGGAAGTCGAAAACGTGTCTTAGCTTCCATATATAAGAGGGACAGTCTACACAACAATATTTCGCAAAACCAACATAGATCCTACCGTATCAACATTTGTTTATTGGCTGGTGACGCTACATGTTTCAATCCTTACATTGGGTCATCATCAGGCGTACGAGAATACTAGAATTAGTATTACTTCTTGAATTCCACAATGTCAGTTTGGGTCATTACTGTCAACAGCACTGCCATTGCTTGAAAAGTGGAGAAATCTGTGAATGAATCTATCATGTCTCATTGTTTTGCCATGAAAGGGCGGAAACAACTGTTCAGCAGTCGAACAATAGCTTTCAGGTGGTCACGTGTTGTCTCATTTGTGTAACTGCTAGAAACAGAAACCTTTGAGATTCAGTATCATCGGGTACTACAAAATGTGCATCGTGAAGGAAATGCAATTGTTCTTGGTTGAATCGATTGGTCTCCTCGACCAACAACGCAAATAAGAATCTATGGTGTCGCATCTTAATTTTTTGGGGGGGTGTCATGGGGTATCATGGGTGAATTGATATACAGGGTGTCCCAGGAGGAATGTGCCAAACTTCGGGAGGGTGTTCCTTATGTTAAAGTATGCCGATATAACCCAAAACACCTATGTCCAAAGTTGAACGGTTACGGAGATAATGGCCCAAGAAAAGTGTGGTCTTCTGGCAGGTCCAAGCACTGTACCTCGCTGTACCTCTCAGCTGAGAGCCCTTATCTATGTTTGTCCTTGAGTGCGATGATACTCCCTAGCCGTGCTTATGTAGTTGGCTCATACCAGAACGCGCAGTCAGCACGTTACGTCATCGCTCGCCAGTCATGTGTTATGTATACTGCTTGGAAACCTAAGGACAATTATGACATGG